CATGTATGGGCATAGCAATAACAATGGATTATCTACTACTTTATGCTGAGAACAAGCAATGATGCACTGGTACACCACAATACATCCATTGAGACTACGATTATTCATATGCAAACATACTGTGGATTCCTATACAATACCTGTATCTGTCCACTGTACATTATCTGCACTGGCAAGGAGTGTTCTACTGACCATGGCTAATTAGACTAGCAACAGCTCCTCATCCATCTTAGTCTCTTACTTACATTAAACTTGTATAAGTCACTCATCCATTTCCATCACTGACAATTATAATGTGTAATTTTTATAAATCACACATTCAGATACATATTGGATATTGATTATTTTGCAGTATCACTATGAGCTACCCTCCACCTGGTGGTTACGCACCCCCTGGTAGCTATGCACCTCCTGGAGCTGGTTACCCACCACCCTCAGGACCGGGTTATCCACCTGCACCAGGAGGTTATCCCCCTGCGACTGGAGCACCGGCTGGCTATCCACCCCCACCAGGACCACCGGGGTCTTACCCACCCCCTCCTGGTGCACCAGGGGCATATCCACAACAAGTAAGCTAATCGGCCTGGTACCATTAAATGACTTTCACTGCAGGTCCCATAAATGTTCAATCTTAAGCAAGTTTTGGGAACTTTAAATTTATTTTATTTCTTATTCCATAAGGCAGCTGGCTACCCACCAGCTGGAGGTGCTCAACATTACCCAAGTAAGTTCATGATAAAACCAGATGTGGTAACTTGATTTATAAATCTCAGAGATTTCTGTATCGTACCATGACTGAAAAAAAAATGACTTTTTTGACATTGGCTGGAGGTAGTTACATTTAAATTCAATTTAGTTGATTCTGATAATATGATTATCACTTGTGGCTTAATGCAGCTGGAGTCCAGCCACCAGCTGGTGCCCCTTATGGTCAACCACCGCCAGCTGCTGCACCTTATGGTCAGCCCCCTGCTGCTGCACCCTATGGACAACCTCCTGCAGGAGCACCTTATGGTCAAGCACCAACTGGAGCCCCCTATGGTCAGCAGCCCCAAGCAGGTGCACCCTATGGCCAACAGTCACAAGCAGGTGTACCCTATGGCCAGCAGCCCCAAGCAGGTGCACCCTATGGCCAGCAGCCTCCGGCAACAGGTGCACCCTACGGCCAGCAGCCTCCAGCAACAGGTGCTCCATATGGAGGACAGGGGGCTTATCCTCAGCAACAGTCGCAACCAGGAGGTGGAGGTAAGTAATGTGCTTATAAATTACAAACTGGCTATTCAGAGGATCAGGGTTCTTTACATGTACTGAAATCCCATCATCTGATTATGAGTACATCTACCTGAAGACAAGACAGTCTGAGATAAGATCAGACATTGGCTTAATAGTGATTTAATTGGCTTTTATGCAGGTGCTAATATACCATCTGCTGCAGCTCTATATGGTCAAGATAACAAACCTAAACCACAGGTAAGTATGAAAGTTGTGCAAGAATCCTTACTTTGGTTTCTGTTCAGGAAAATAAACCTAAAACATAAGACGTGTAGGATGAAAGTATGGAAGCTATGCATAGTGCCAACTTTGTCCTGTGGGAGACTACACCATAGTCTGGCCAAATTTAAAGTGTGCACAGTTTTCATTTTTCACTGAGAAAGCGAACCTTAACCACAGGTCAAGCATGAAAACTATGCACAGTCCTCCCCGATTTTCTCTTGATCTCATATGTATCGCGCTGCAAGTACTTCCAGACGTTTGCTATGAATGAAAAATGCACTGTGATTGGCCCATAATTTTGTGCAAAATGCCATCAACAGTTTTTGACGTACACATTTATACATGTAATTTGTGTTTGGTGATGATGCTGAGACATTTGTTCTATTTTAATGTGCATTCAGACAAATAAATATTTCAATATGCATTAATCTTATCATCTGACACATGAAGTGCTAAATCATAAGATCTTACTCTTGATCCATAAAGGGCATTTCATTCCAGACAGGTAGTTATTCGGCTGATCCCATTAGCTTGGGAATTAACCAATGTCTTATGAAAATCATCTGACATTTTGTTAGGGTCCTCCACCAGTTGCTCAGCCAGTAACAGCTGCAATGAGTAAGATGTCTCTGAAAGAGCAACCATTTGAAACACATGGAACTATTAAACCAGCTCATCCATTTGATGCAGAGAAAGATGCAGAAGTAATGCGCAAAGCTATGAAAGGACTGGGTAAGTATCATCCAGTCATTCTTTGCTGAGTGTTTTGTTGCCATTCCTTGCTGGGTGTTGTGTTGCCATTCCTTGCTGAGTGTTGTGTTGTTATTCCTTGCTGAGTGTTGTGTTGTTATTCCTTGCTGGGTGTTGTGTTGTCATTCCTTGCTGGGTGTTGTGTTGTTATTCCTTGCTGGGTGTTGTGTTGCCATTCCTTGCTGAGTGTTGTGTTTTTATTCCTTACTGGGTGTTGTATTGCCATTCCTTGCTGAGTGTTGTGTTGTTATTCCTTGCTGGGTGTTGTGTTGTTATTCCTTGCTGAGTGTTGTGTTGTTATTCCTTGCTGGGTGTTTTGTTGCCATTCCTTGCTGGGTGTTGTGTTGCCATTCCTTGCTGAGTGTTGTGTTGTTATTCCTTGCTGGGTGTTTTGTTGCCATTCCTTGCTGGGTGTTGTGTTGCCATTCCTTGCTGAGTGTTGTGTTGTTATTCCTTGCTGAGTGTTGTGTTGTTATTCCTTGCTGAGTGTTGTGTTGCCATTCCTTGCTGGGTGTTGTAGGGTGTTATTTTATCACACTAGTGTCAAGTGATCATTGTACCACTGTAAGACCCCTCATTTTGGTTTACTTGTTTGTACTTAGAGCTAACCCAACTTTATTGTGATATTCTTTTCACTTTCCAAATGGTTTGTGTACCAAGAATGCATGTATTTTCTTTCTTTTTCAGGGACTGATGAAAAAGCCATTATAAATGTGATAGCAAACAGAAGTAACAAGCAACGACAAGAGATCAAATTGAAGTACAAGACAATGTATGGCAAGGTACTTAAACGTCCTGGCTGAGATCCAAAGTTCAACTTCATACATGAATATAACGGGTACTGTTTTATTGACCAAAGAGTGGGAAATTGTATATGATTAGCTGTTAATGAAAAGTATAATGAAAATAATTCCACTTTTCAACTGTTACTCAACTGCCGTGTGTTACAATGGTTTTACCATCACCCCTTGAAATTTTACATTTTGTGTTTCAATTAACCTTATTATTTAATATTTGTTTGGCTATATCAAACTATATTTTGGAGCCATTTTCATTTTGATGCTTAAATGAATTTTATGTGAAAAACTGTAGCGTCTAGGCACTGAACCTCAATTTGCCTTGATTTGTTCCTAAAAAACTGCCGGAACGGCAATTTAATGTTGCAAAGTAAATGGCAAATTTGCCAGTAAACATGGTTTTCTCAGAAATGTTCTCAAAGAGCAAACTTGGGATTCACAATTTGTACATGAAAAGATGTAAATTGAACAGTGTCTTTCCTGATTTACATCACAGCAACAGCATTCTCACATGTCTGAAAAAAGGTGGACAAGTTTTATTGTTTAAAAAGACGCACTTTTCAACACTTAACGCAAAAGGATTTTAAATAGTTTCGTACATTGTAGACAAGTATATAGATACACAAATGCCAGTCCAAGTAAAACTTAATCGCAAGAATCTTTAATGCCACATTGTTCTGAAGTGAAGACTCAAGAATACTGAGAATGTCTTAGTGGTTTTCTTGATAGGATTTGATCAAAGATCTGAAGTCGGAGCTGAGCGGTCACTTGGAGGAATGCATCTTAGCTCTCTTCATGCCTTTGGAATACTTTGAAGCTCATCAGCTTCATAAGTCAGTTGGGGTATGCAACATGTTCTTTTCACCATGCTTCTCTAGCTATTTGCAGTTTGTTGCAAAGTTTGTTATGCTCCATATGGTTACACTAAAACTTGTTAAAATAAAGCCTAAAAAGCAGCAAAATGTTTCTTTTTCAACTTCAGTAACATTTCAGCTCATGATCTATACTGTAACATCACTATTACATTGTAACAGTTTGGGCCCCCAGCCAATCGCTCGCTCGGGGATGGCGGCCCATCTGCCACTGAATGGGGAATGGGAGGCAGAGTCACGGCAGGATAAAGTTAAGGAAGGAGATAATAGCCAGAGAAAGACGGACGAGAATAACTATTGGAGCCTTGCTGACACTGCTGCAGGATTTACCCAAGCTTAATTCCAGGGTCAACTTTGCTTAAGTCACCTTACCCCAAGTGTAGCCATACTGCTACCTGTAGCCAAGTCAACAGCCAACTAGCAGCTTGTAGCTATGCACACAGTGGTGCCAAAAAAGTATAGCAAGTCATGCCAAAAAGTAATACAATCTGGCCACTTCCAGCCAACAAACATCTAGAGGACGTATTGTCACATCCAGGGCTCAAGCTCCTAAGGATGTCTGTGAGTTGCTGGTCACCAATAAATAAAGGCTAGGCTATACATATCCTCCTGAGAGTTTTGGTCTTTGTACATGTCACATCTACCGTGCTGGTGCTCGTTGTATTTCACAATGGGACTAGACCCCCTTGTACCGGTACACCAATTTCTCAATAATTCCATGATATCATCACTTGTGCTTTTAATGACAGGGTATAGGAACAGACGAGGAAACATTGATTGAGATTTTGTGCTCTAGAACTAATGAACAAGTCCAAGCTCTAACTGCAGAGTACAAGAAAAGTGAGTATAGTTAATCTTGTACTTATCATTAGAAAAGATTTGGAAAAAGACGTGCTTAGGCATTGTTATGACAAGAAAGAAAACCCCATATAATGTTATCTGTTACTTTGCATTGTATCTTAGATTACCATCGTTCTCTTGAGAAAGATTGTATTGGTGATACAAGTGGTCACTTTCAGCGTCTTCTGGTTTCGATGTGTCAGGTATGTCAAACAGTATTTCTGAATTAAATTAAAAATATAACAGCGTATTCATATGTCATATTCAAAATCTATGGCCTGTGTTTATGGTACTTTTAGAGTAATGTTGATGAAGGTAATAATGTTAGCACAACCAACTCTCTGCATTGACCTTGATAACATTCACAAAATGCCTAATGTTGATTTTTAGGGTAACCGTGATGAAGGCAATACTGTTGACATTGCCAAAGCTAGAGACGAAGCTAACAAACTCTACCAAGCTGGAGAAAAGAAATGGGGAACTGATGAATCCATTTTCAACATGATTCTGGCTGTTCGTAACTTTGCACAACTGCGAGCAACATTTGATGAGTATATCAAGGTGAAATCAGGAAAACTGGAGTAAAGATATCACATCACTGATTATTTAAAATGAATTAGATGAATTGTATATGATTGGACCATGGCTATTTTTCTACAGAGGTATCAAAGTGACTGAATTTTACAAAATCAAAATTTGTGGGCCAAGGCAGAGGTATATATGTAGCACCTGCAATTGCGGGAAATGCATGCCAGTGAGTCTTGTGCCGCAAATTTGTGCTGTCGCTGCACATTATAGTTATGTTTGATTTCACAAGAAGTTGCTTAGATGTTACATTTTAATTATAATAACAGCTTTTATGATGGCTGTTTGTTTTCAATATTACAGTCATCATCAAACAAAGAAGTGCCTCTGCTTGCCATTGTGAAAAAGTTATTGACATTTCCTCATTGCAACAGGACAGAACATCTCACAGTTCTCTCACAACCAAACAAATTTTCATTACCTTCTGAAACAAAGTTGTATATTTTTCATATAAGCCTTGTTAAGTTCAGCAATGATGAGCCTTAACTGAACACTGAGTTTGTCAAATTATTTGTTTTTGCTCTGATTGGCACAACTTATGCAACATAAAATGACTGCAGAAGTTATGCCATAATCAAGAAGCCTTTGGAGACATTTATTCAGTGAAAGTTTTCACTATTTTATTTGTTCCATGCCTTGTTCTTTTTAGATTTCTCAGCGTGACATTATGAGTAGTATTGAACGTGAGATGTCTGGAGATCTTAAGAAAGGAATGATGACTATTGGTTGGTATCAGTCAATTGTTTGTTGTTTGTTCAGTGTAGAAAGAACTTCTGCTCTGTTTTTCCATGAAGAGCTACCTACCTTGCTGGTGTTTTTGTTTTTTTTAGTCCAGTGTGTTAAGAGCCGACCTGCTTACTTTGCTGAGCGTCTGTATCGATCAATGAAAGGAGCAGGCACTGATGAAGACACTCTCATTCGAGTAATTGTAACTCGCTCTGAGGTATGTTACTCATCATTTGTTGTTTCAGAGATTATACTTGATGTGAAAAGTTATAATATCCTTCTAGACTTTCAACTATATCAGATGCACCCACATGCCTCCTACTGCATCATGCATAAGGAACCGTCTTGATACGTGTGTACATGTTTTTTAGTTTTTGTGCAAACAAACCAGTCTTCACCCAGACCCACAAGAAGAAAATTACCCAGGGGTCATGTGATCAAAATGGCTAGTTTCTTCATGGCAGCATCTACTTGGCTTTATGGCCTCCTTGAGAAATGTTTTGTGAAAATATGACCCATGACTGTCTTCCTCTCTGTTACAGATTGATCTTGTTGAGATCAAGAAGGCATTCTTGGAGAAATACCACAAGACTCTGTCCAAGATGGTTGAACATGATACATCTGGTGACTTCAAGAGATTGTTGCTGGCTGTTATTGGTAAAGAATGAAAGTTCACCTGATATCTTAGTATACTCAGTTTGTTGTAGGATGTGCATGTATAACAAAAACTAGGTGTTTGATCCAATATAGAGAATATGCCATATGACATGTAGTGAGGCTTTTGCGCCAAAGTTGTCGTCGCTGCAGTTAAAATGGTAAGTTAAATGTCTTAATTAAGATTTATATCATTAGAGAGCTTGTTATTTTATTTTTTTAACCCTAACAGTCCCAAATCCTCTGATTTCAATATGATTTTACGTACACCCTAGGGGGTAAGGGTTAAAGTGCTTAGAACTATACAATAAAAGAAAACATGTGAAGAGGATTAACTTTGGAAATTTTCAGTTCATATCATTGTTTGTTTTAATTCATTTTGATTTTATTTGTAGTAGACAAACTGAATACAACAAAGAAATTCCAAGTATTTTATTGTGCCATGAGGCACAGAAGTAAAGATACAGTCTGTTTTCATACTTGATCACTTTTTCTTCTGCACTAATCAGATTTACTAAATTTCACGTGTTCACTGCCTGTATAACTCTTAGAAGTTGAAATTCTTTTCATTTTAAGCTCCTATCCTCTGCTTGTACTCACCTCTCTTCAAAGGAAGGAATATGTGTCTTGCTAAATTAGACACTCTTTCAAATGTTAAAAACCCTCAGGTCACCTTCCCAAATGTCACAAAATCAGTCCATTTATTAATTGATGAAGTTAGATTTACATATTTGTCAAATCNGTGAATACAGGTAAAAACCAAATACACATAAAGATGGAGTAGGCTGAGGTGCATAAACTTTATTGGAAAACTTAGTGTTGTAAAACAACCTGCTGGCATGTTAACTGTTTGTTTAGAATTGCTGAATTGAAATTAAATTCCGCCTGTCACGGCAACTGTAATCGCTGATACTTTGTTTACAACAGCTCAATGGAAGTCTTCAGTTTGAAACAACTCTAATTGCATCTAAGAAAAGCCTGGCTTTAGAAGTTCTTCCTCGTATATGAATATTACTAAAGTTATGAGCTGTATGAACTATAGACGATTAAAGATTAAATTATAGTACTATAAGATGAGAAAATGTTGAATTAAAAGTAGCCTTAAATTATGTTTAGTAAATTAATTTCAAAAATATTAATATTCAATGCAGATGTGTAACACAAAATATATTCTCCATAAAACAAGAAGATATTACCCGCAATTTTTGAAACTTATTTGGCGAAATGTAAATGTTCATTGGTGATGTTGGAGGTAGGGAATTTTTTAGATTAGAATGTTAATTTTCTCGAAAATAAATGTTGTTACTTTTCCTGTTAGAAAAGCTGAACATTCACGGTGAGATTGCCCCAACCCTTACAGGTTTTCCAACTTTAAAATACATGTACAAGGAAATATACATTTACATTGAACATTTTAGGTCTCTGAACATGAAATCTATTTCTGTGAACATTTCGTACCGAGATGAGGAGGTTACAATTAAAATGTCATTCCACGGAACGACGAAGTGGTATTGTGTCATCCGCTCAATTTGACCGATCTTGCCTAACGTTTTTTAATTTGCATTTGGGAACCTAATAAAACGTGAAGCTTCTAGTTGATAGGTCATGTTTCCCATTAAATTCCCAATCATATGCTTATAGGTACAGGGTTATTTTTCGGTAGAATGCATATGCTGTGATTAATCAATACCATATAAGCTATTCTCTTTTATATAGACCTTTAATAGGGGGCTTGTCTCCCTTTTATGTTAGTCTTGTGCATAAATAACAGTCCGAAACATAATAAACTGTTTGAGTACATATATATATGTCTACTTTGTGACAAAAGTATTTCAAAATATATACAGTAGTCATGTAGATTATTAATTGTGCAGTGTAGGAGGCATCTTAATGAAGACCGATTTACCGTTTATTCATAGTGGTGCATGTTTAAATTATGCATTTTCACCTCAAAACAAACTTTCATGAAAACACGTCTTAATAAATTTTGAATTTGCGAAGTATACGAATATACAGACTGTGCGTACTATAAAACTTGAAAAAAACTTAGGTGGTGAATGAACGATTGATGTTAAATTCATTTCTTTTAAAAATAAACATTCGATGAATGTTCGAACGTACCAATTTTTTGTTTTTCTTTTGTAGTTGGATTCTTAAAAGTCCTCCGAACATTTAAGATTATAGTCATGAAATTACCGTGGGGATGAATCAAATAAGAATTACATTTCGAAACTGTTGGATTCAAAATAGCAGATTATATCAGCCAGTCTCAGTAATTTGTTCGTAAGCCGTAGACGTCACTTGTTTTATCAGGGTGGTGGATTGAAATTTGTACATGCAGAGTAAATTAGTATGGAATAGCAAGTAATATATACATCATAGTGACAAATAAAAGGTAAATGCTGAGTGGTGTATTACATACTTTTGTCTTGATTGGTTTTCTTGTTTAGTCAATAAAAGGAGAAACTTATGATAAAATAAACACTACAGCTCTTCTTTGTTTCCTGTTTTTAAGCAATAAGCATCATTCTGCCGGTTGGACAATCGTGGATGCTTTCTGAAAGAACTGTGTACCGATAACGAAACGCTTTGTTTACGAGTGTGCTTTCTTTTTATGCTATGCTCCAGCTAGCTGTCTCGGGAAAGGTCACATGTAATACCCATCTGAAGTGACGTCATCAATACATGGGCATGCTCTGGTAGCCTGTTGATCCTTGAGTCGTTGGAACAAGTGAAAGATAAAGAAAAAAGCAGTCTTCGCGCAATCCTTCCATTCTTTAACAAATGAAAATTTCCACCCAAAGTTCAGCAACATAGATTACAGTATCGTGTGAAGTACATGTTCTGGTCTTGGGACAAATTGACCCAGTTAAGCCTTTGTAATATATTGATCATTTCCCGCATATTCTCATAAAAATATGGAATGTATTTTTGAATACTAAGTTTCTTTGATACTTTATATCCCTCAGATAAAATCCCTCCAGAGACACGTGTTGTCACTCATTTATTACAGTAAGTCGCTTTCTTGACATGATCTGTTATCCTCGTCAGCTGACAGACATGGCGTGGCATTTTCTAAGGACTGTCCGGAATCAATGGTCATCTGCTGCTCGGCGTTAACGTTACACGTTGTTCCGTCAGGATCCTTATCCGGGGTTAAACTCTCAGGTTGCTCAAGATGCCCCTGAGCATTTATCTTGCTTGTGCCCTGTGATTGGTCTTCCTTTGTCTCTATTGACGATTTGGGTTTGGAATCGTCTCCTTCAGTTGCACTCCCTCTCTTTTCCCTTTTACGACGACTTTTGATTTTAATAGGAGGATGCTTCTCTAAGGGTATTCCTTGACCGTAAGCGTCGATGTCACTCATTCTTTGGGGCGTAAGGTTAGAATTGATTCTTCTAGTTGATCGTTGTTTTTCCTTTGTGTCTTTGCTACCATGTTGTGATTTCTTTGCTTGCTCTGATAAATTATCATTTGACTTTCGGGAGATTGATTCACGAAGAATTTCTAGCTCACTGTACAGATCTTTGTTCAACCTTTTTAGCTCTTCATTCTCCTGTTTAAGCTTGTCTGGTTCAAGTTTTTCAAAGGCTTTGATTTTTTCTTTCAGTTGATTATTTTCAGTTCTTAAGAGAACCTCAGCTTGATTGGTCACCGTCCCATTGGTTCCTGTGTAAGTAGAGGATGGTCTGCTCCCCATAGTGATACATATACATCCAGACAGCTGAAACCGAAGAAAAGAAAGGAAGTAAAGTAGGCTATTCCTTGTGTATAAAACAACTTGCAATGCCTTGATGCTTAGCCTTAGAAAATACTGTTTTCTAAGAGCAGCTTCATAGGGTTTGTGCACAGGATGCCAAGTGATGTTCGTGTATGAACTGTTCCCAGCCATAATTTAAATTAATTATAACACCTTTGAGATTTGTTCAGCGCATTTCGATCTTGATATCTAATACTCAGCGTCCTTTGACCATATTGGTTCATGAAGTGCATGTCAGCTTTGATACGCAAGTCACACAAGCACGACCAACCAGCACCCGCAGCTATCAGTTTTTTCAACAAACCATCAATAATGCATCCACACCTAGATCAGCTTTTAGTCACCTAGGTAACGTCCGAAGTCAGCAACTACCCCCACAATGACATTTAACGTCGACGTATTATGCATGTTTTTGTTCCTGGATTGTGAAACATTTTTGGGGGGAAATTAAAGAGGGCCATTGTAATTGAAATGTTTGCAAATCCGTGAACATTAATGCAATGACGTAAACACTCAAGCTGGATACATTATGTAAATTAATTAAGCTGCAGTTGTCACAAGTAAAGCGTATTTTAAAATCAGGGATTAAAAATTAAGAAAACTGTAGACTGGGTACAATGTCGATGACGAAATATGGGGGGCAGGTGAACAACATATGAAAGGAAATCGACATGCGTACGAATTAAAATGACTCCTTCAGTTTAGAATGCATAATCTTTCGGCGTTAATGCCCCGTTATCCATGTCGCGTAGGATATACACGATAGTGGACATGTATTATTATTATTATGAAAGCAAGTCCTGAAAGCCTGGTCATTATGAAACGGCTTATTACAAGGCCGGTTTGACAGGGTTAAATATTGACAAATACATGTATAACAGTCATTCACTAATGCGAATTCGTAAATGCTTCTTGTGCATTGCCATTTCATCATCATTATAATCACGATCGAGGTGCAAAATACACCATCAAGAAGCTGGCAGACACCCTGTCAGCTTACCGCTCAGTCTATACGTATAGGGGATATTGTCTTTATTGTACGACCAAATGACAATGCTTGCAGCTATCCCTGATAGACAATTCTGATTTTTGCTTGTCATTGAATAAAGAAAGAATTTTACTTAAGGTTTCATATCTTTACAAGCTTTGGTAATCTTATATTCGTTACATGCACGTGTCCTTCCTAAAAAATGTTACGAAATAGTAGTATCTTACCTGTATTCAACACCACAAAAATCAGATGCATTCTTAAGATGCCCCGTCTCATCTCCAGCTCTAATGCCTTCATGTAAGTGCTTCACTACAAATATTGACGACGTACGAGCTAAGACGAGATTCACCGCATTACGTTAAGCGCATGCGCACTTATTTATAACCGCTCAACACGTCATTATCTTGTGAATAAGGGTAAAATATGAAGGACAGCGGCTTCATATACATGTACATCAAATCACGCACGTGTGTATGATTATTATAATGTACTTTAGTGTTGCCTTGCTTATTACTAAAATGCGGGAGGAAATTAACCATGAAATTAATTTGTTTTAGTTTTCCATCTTATTTTCCGCTTTTAATTCTTTGACTTAAGTTGAATCTTGGAAACTGATGTAGGTTTCGTTTTAAACCTCCAGATAAATGACGGTTGACGAATTTCACCAAAATTACATTCAAATAATGAAACACGGAATACAACATAGAAGAGGCTACACAAAAATCACTAACTGGACTTCGAAAGCTCGAAGGGGCAAAGATGAGAGGGAATGGACAGTGGGAATAGTTGACGTTGATTCTAAAAATAAATAATACATGAGCTGAACGGAGTGGGGGAGAAGCACCGTTTAAGGTATGAGAAATAAAGGGGTGAATGAGCCTTTGTTTTAAAGAGGAATAGGAGTAAGAGTTTTGTACATAATACTGACCGTGTTCATCGCCACGCATTTTTTTTCGGGGGGAGCAGAAACTTCAAATTTTCCTTTAATAACGTAAGGGAAGTGACATCTGCTCCATCACTTTTCTCTTTTTTACTGCCCCCTTGTCGCGCACCCTGTCGCCCCATCCTGGGTCCGCCAATGAGCGCACCCCTTTTGCATGATATTCAAAATGTACCCATGCCCTCCTCAGTCACATCAAATTAATACGTCTAGTTGCACTAATTTTAGTGGCATCCACACTTTTTCACGACCATACCCTCATATCGATACTTGTACGTTAGTATGTTATTTTCATCGAGATATAACATTGATATTGGTTCAAGTTTAGTTGGCACACAACACGGATTTTCTACGCTTTTTGGATCATACTCATGGGCCAATGTTTGAATGATAGAATGTACAGTAGGACTCCAGTGGTCTGTTAATGGAAAGACACATTGTCCGGAGCATTTGAAAGCTTGGTAGCGTCTGGGTGCAATAATCCATTCATCCCAACCGATATCTTTGAAGGTGACTTGCATCGGACGCCGTCTACACAGGTGGTTGAGTCTCACAGAATCTCTCTTCTTACGAACAATGCTGACGCTGTTTAGATCACTCGTTCCAACTACTGTGTGTCTCTTCATTCGGTCGCTTACAAACATGTCTTGTTTTTGTTGGTAACCCATTTCTTTGAAGCTGTTGAAGTTATTTGAATAAACAACCAATAAGGGCTTCAATTCGATATCACGTGATATGTCGACATCCAGACTTGATCTGCCTTCATTTTTTATCAGTGGTTGTAGGTGGATCGTGAGGCGTAGCGATTGTGATTGTACACGTGGTTGTCCAGATATATTTGATTTGACATTCAATCGAACCAGACCTGTCAAATCAAAGCTCTCCCATCCATTAGTTTGCCTACATATCACCCGTGACGTCAGCAGCCTTGTGTTAACCTCGCAGTCACGATAAACAAGGATACGAGCAATGCCTCCATAATGGATGTTGCTATTAGCAACCAAAATGAAGATCCTAAGTTGTGCCATGACGACAGTTTCACTTGATGGAATCGTGATATTAAACAGCAAGTTACGATCACCGCCATCGTCATGTAGGGTCCCTTGGTTCCATGACGTAATCGATTCCAGGCCAGAGCTGTTCTCGAGGTCATTTGTTCCTGTATAATATAAATCAAAAATCAATGATCAGACCATTATTTCCCTTATTAAATCAATCCTACATTCGAGGCCTTGATTTTAATAGCATTATTTTTACTCTTAATGACTGAAAATCATGGCGTTCGTTTAATAATTGCGGATTTACATTGACCACCGAGTTTGCCTGAGCACTTACTTACTCGAGTCAAATACAAAACAGCTAATGGTAACCTCTTCAAATCAAAATAGCAAAACCTCTAATGAGTCAATTTTACCCAGGCTAAACGATAAATTTCATGAAGTTTTAATAGTTTTCTTAGTTGAATAAATTTTCCATTTGGCTGGTATTTGTCAATTTGGAAGTGGGTGGAGATCAAGACGATATTTCAAGACTGGGATAATCTTAAGCTTCTTTACGAATTCCATATCCCACCTCTCCAGCCCATCAAATCAGAAAAAAACAAAAACACAAACCAAACAATGATGCATTGCATGCTTACCTTGATTCAGAAAACCGCGAACGATGTTAGCCTCCGGTTGAACATGATCGTCACGCTTCATGGTAAATGTGTTATAGATATTCATCATGTATGGTGGTACACTGTGTACTGGCGAAGGCAAACTGGAATTAGAGGCCATTTCATGGTGAAGAAATCTGAATGCCTTTTTGACTGAGTCCTTCCGTCCTGCTAATTCTGCCTGATCTTTGACTGTGGCGTCTTCGTGTATTCTCTGGTCACTACTTTGTAAGAAATCGAGAGGCATTAATGTTTTACCGAAGTCAGAACCACCAGAAATGATCTGTCCAGAGGGCCTGGAGTTTGCCACTTCGTCAGCGTGCCTGGATGTCGCTCCGTCTTTCGTAGCTAAATTTCGATAGTAAGAGGATTTACTTCGAGACTTGATATAGCCTTGGATTGAAGCGGAATTTGAAACTTCAACAGCGAATACGATGACCAACAAACAAAGGAGAATCCGAAAGAACCCCATGGCGAAAAAGTCGGTTGCAGACAGAACTTTTAATTCCAATGTAGGTTAATTACAGGACGATAGTTTTAGATTGCAGTCGAGCATAGAAATGGAATTATTTGTTTCGAGCAACGTTCTGTTTTGGCCGGTGGACTGATCGTTGTGTACGCGTAATGGAGAAATGATGGGTCTCAGATTCGAACTTCTTGGAACGATACCCTCATGGAGTTCAGCAACTTGCCAAAGTATGCGTCGTATGTCTCTTATCGACAAACCTCTTCAAGATAATTCTGAAATCAGACGTGAGCACTTTAATTTGGACTTTATCCAGAAGCAAGAAATGACAGGTGTGTATTAGGCCCCTCAAGAGTTGCAGTAAGGCTTGGAGCCTCAAACATCACCACAATTAACCCCGCATTCCAACCTCAAAAGTCTGTCAAAAATGTAAGAAAGCGGAATAAAGTTTTCTCTTGAAGCTACCCCATGGAATCCACCTTTGGGAGTGGATGAATCTAAAGTACTGAAGGAATAAAATCCTCCTTTTTAGGGGTAAGTTTTAAAATAAATTATAAAAACAGCTAGAGACATATTTTCAGTACTAAGTGATCACTGCATATATGGTACGCATCTAGATCTGTGCCACAGAATAACCGGATCACATAAGACGAATGGTTTAGAACGCATACCACGTGGGCTTGTGAGTGGGGCAACAACCAGAAACAGTAATTTATTCTCGGGCAACTGGCTGAGCCAATCAATCTGTCGTACCCGCACCTGACCTTCATCCAAGCTGTAGACCTACGCTGGGATTATTGCTATATACACCTCAGATATATCCACCGCTGCATTTTGGACGGTACGGTTACTTATCTCCTCATCTGCTATTCTGCGCTGCAGAGGCGTAGCAGTAGACAAGACCAAGTATATAGTATTGTTGCTCGTCTCCTCGACAGCTTGACGGTAGGTTGACGAAATGTTATCACATTTAAAACTGTCAAACCGTCGAGGAATTGAACCTGGTTGCCGCTGTTTTACAGCTTCTACTTTTATCATTTTCTTTTGTCCAAAACACCCAAATCGCTGACAGGTTTACTTTTTTCTCCTCGCAAGTTTTTACACTTGAGGAATTTCCACAAAAAGCAGATGGGTAAAAATTCGTCTCATCAAGTAATTTAAAGCAAGCAGAAGTTAGAACACAGGTAATGATTCGTAATAACTCAGCCATAAACTAAATCTGATCTCCTTGGATTTCGTGGAAACACATTATGCTGTAATCCACATTCTGAGTCGGAGAATCTTGCCAAAGGACATGTACAATATTTCTATTTTCATTTATTTTTTAAAGTGTTGCGAAATGCTTGGGAACCGTGTAGACGTTACCGTGACTCCACTGCTAACAGTATGCTACCTGGCGGCTTTGTTATGCCACGGACTGTCTTCAAATGTTCACCATGAGTCATCGCAATTTCGATCTTCTAAGGATGTGAAATCTGTTGACCCACCTGGCCTCTGGCCAAGTACAAGAAGAGCTGGGGGATACTCAGGCATCAGTCCTTCGAAGCATATCATGAAAATCATGCAGCAGCTATCTAAGGATGGTGATCAGTTGAAAGAACGTGGGAACACAGTTCGAAGCTACCAACCGACAATGAGTAAGTACGAAAAAAACGAAAAAGACACAAACCTGTAAATATGGGATTTGTACTCAGCAAGCATTTCAAATTCAAACTTTGCAATGAAGCTTAAAATACAGAAGTTTCACACCCTGCATTTGTAAAGATTTTACATTTAAATAGTGAGGCTATTTCAAGTGTGAATGACCAACCTGGAAAGAATCACTAACTCTATCAACGCCCCGGTTTGACGGTAATTATTTAGAATGAAACCACACTTTCCTCTTTCCCTTGTCTCAGGGATTTTTTCCCTATGTGGAAGATTTCATGTGGAAGGGAGCCGTTTGCATTCAGCAGAATATATTGTTTGATAAATGAAGCAATGAAACTTGCATTGGTCCATCATAAAGATGAAAAAATGGTCTGCGTTGCTTGCAAATGGATAGCAGGGACTGGACCTGAGATACCTCTCCAAGGATCCTAATCATGTAGCCTAGGGTGGAGGTGCATTATTAACAGGAATCAAGAAACCTACCGCATGATGGTTTAGTACAGGTTAACCTAGCCCCCCGCCCCTCTTCAAAGAAAGTTATGAGTTTAAACTGTATTATGTTACATGTCACGCTGACTACCAGACAACCTACTTCGGCAGCACTGTAGACAATACTCATTCTCTTTCTGGCTAAAGTAATTTAAATAATTAATATAAACCCATTGGGGAAGATTTGTTTTAATAATTCTGGACAGTAGGTGTTCATTTTTATACAAAAAAGGCTAGTCTGGGGTATAATGGTAATAACAATACACAGTCAAGGATATTTGCCCGTGACTAGTTAAAGTATCATGTAGTCTGTAACACAGCACACATTCAAGAATTTAGAGCTAAGAATACCTGAGTCGCAGACATGGTCTGCCGAAAGTTCGGATGTTTTAATCAACAAACCTTATCGACACTTAAAGTGATTCATAACTGATTATCCGGAGAAGATTCTGAAGAGGACGTCAGAAATTGCAAGCGCCAAACGGAATCTTTTTTACCGGGATTTTGAAGGTTGGAAGTGGCGCACCCAGGATTTGTCTTAGGGGGACTCGGACCAAGTTTACCCCCCCCCTGAAATTATGATGCTCACCCCCCCCTCACTCCATCGGGAACTGGGATGTACGGCTGTATATAGTTTAAGATATAGGTGTACATTTCGTTTTTCTAAAAGTAGAAAAATTACCTCTGCAGGCTCAAGCCCTTCTAGGGCCCCTCTCCCAATTTGGTGCGCCACTTGATAGAAGCTAGTCTCAATTGACGACTTCATGCTTCTTATAAGACTTCCCGTAACTGCTAGTTCCTGAGACTTCGAATGCTTTATTCAAGCACAGGTTCAAGCATGGTGCGTAACTAAATACTCTGGATGCAATTTTGTAGCTGCAAAGGCAAGAAATGCAAAGGTATCCAGAGCGACCATGTTTCACGAATTCATCAAACTTGCAAGATATTTTCCTGAACGGGAAGATTTTTTCCAATATATCTTTAGAGACCTTAATTTTTATTTACAGTGTGTTAAGGTAATTGTCCTAATGACACCCTATTTGGTTGCCTTCAGATCTATGCCAAACTTAGATCTATGCCGAGATTTACTTGGTGAAAATTTCCCTTGGTTAAATTGAAGTTACCTTGACCGTCATCATTTCGCTATACATTGCGACTGTGATTCACCCCAGACCTTGGTGGTAAGGTGTTATCTTGTTAGGTGCTCAGTGCTCGGGCCGCTATTGCTTGTTCACATGAAAAAAGGCTAGCAGGAGCAATCATGCCTACTGCTACCACAGAAATGGGCCGTCTCCGGCGAACACCTCCAAGTCTAAGACATGTATATAACCGGGCCTACAAACAGCTATCGGCCTGGACCATACACGCTTCACATTACATATGTGAATGCAGGTCAACTGAAATATTTTTTTATTTTAAAATAAAAACCACGAAGAAGGGAAAATCATCAAAACGTTTTTCATCTTTGTACTTTTTTAAGCAGGAAATCGAAAGGTTAATGGGGTGAACTAATGGCATTCAAATGTCGAGTGTATGCACGTTCACAACTGCTGCCACATTGTCCTGTTCTTAGCAGTTTTGATGGCGTTGCATCATTGAGCACAGTTGGCGTTAAGAGGAGGAAATTCTTTTCCCACCATTAACTAACTGTGGGGACTTTCTGTCAGTTTATAAAAACAACACAACCCACTAAAAGCGTCCTTGTGTGCCTTGGTTAAATAGGTGCGAAATATATGAAACATCTTATATCATTTTTTTAATGAAACAAATTATACGAACATTACAAAAAGTTTTGAATGCACTGAATTATACACATTGCTCATTGCATTCAACCAACAACCACTTTTTGAAATTAGATAAAACTGAGATCACAAAGCTTGCGTACAACATACAGTTGCTTTTGTTCAAATTTTTAAATGTTTAACGCTGTAACAGGTTTTTAAAAGCTTCAATTGACCGCGATCTCATTCGCCAGCACAGAAATGTGGCAGACGTTCCACCGATACAAATAAAATGATAGACCCTTTCGTTGTCTTACAGATTCTAACATTTACTACCGTAAGTTCTTTATAAACATGTGAAATTCTTGCATTTCGCTCGGGGGAACAACCATCTGCATTGAATTAATAGCCGGAGGGGAGAGACTGGCCCGAGAGGAAATGATCATTGCTTCACGATGTCATCATACAAAATCACAAAGTAAATTGAAGAGGAAGGTCTTAATATAGATTAATCTATGTCAACACGGCAGGGTTTGTGTACGAGCTTTACCTTGTCTGCTCAATACACACTGTACAACTTATGCGTGTATATATATATATTTATATATATATATATACTTATTTATATATATATTTATATATATAAATTATATATATAATTTTCAATCTATTTTATGTTGATGATCCCTTTTAACATATTTCACGCTCAGTCTCTTTTCACACCCTTCCAAAAGAAACTTCAGTGTGATAACCTTGCACATGCAACAAACAATGGATTGGCCCCTTTTTTAAAGTAATGAAACACGTGCCTGAGAAAAAGAAACACGAAATCCAAACAGACAAATGCCAGCTATTTGTGTACATCGTTTACTGGGTGTCTACATACAGGACTATATGAGCTGATACGTCAAGATGACCGATATGAAATTCGAATTTATGACAACTCCTTGTTCATTGTTTTGTTTTACCACCAGCGACAAGGAACTTGCTATAAAACCGAGCATAAAATCCACTCAAACCTTGATTCTTCATCCTATCATTGCCCCAGAGTATTGGGGTTTGTGCAAGATTAAGTATTAATCATTGTCAACTCATCTCCTATCTATTATTCTGTGAAACTAAACCTAAATATCCTTTGTTCGATTAACACGTGTATAAGAGGATAGTAATGCTTTTATCCACAACATAGAAAAAAATACGCGTTTTTCAGATACAGCAGCTTCCCAACATCACTTCTTGCAAATGTTTTACTAGTCTGTAAAAATGTGCATTGATTAATTGTCTTTACGCGAGGTGTTGTGGGTGTATTAAAAGACATGTAGCTTGAAATAAAACGGAGGCAAAACTAATTGAATCTTTCTGAGAGAAAATGCGACTCAAAGTTTTGTTCCACCAAGAATAAGGAACTTATAGTTCTATCATTCTCTTTACAAGTTTGCTTTGACATTACAGGTTCTGAAATATCTACTCGTGTTGATGCCAGAATGAGTGATCATACTAGCCTATGCCTCACTGGTTGCTTGTTAGACCACTGTCATTAAATAGATAGGCGCTTACAGTTAAATGTTGGTTCGAAATTCTTGTCGTAATAATTAATAATTTGTATAATGCATGACTTCGTTCCATCTTCTAATTTTACTGTGAAACAAATATGTTATGTTTCAGCGCGTGTTCTGCGATGATTTTCAGAATATTTCATTTCATTTATTATAACATGATAACTGGATCTGGGCTTAGTTTTGAGGTTATGACTTGCTAAAGCTTTAACTCCAGTTAAAAATGCCTTAAAGCTAAAGCGGCAAATTGATCAACAGTCAAAAGATATATGTCACTCCTGGGAAAAGAGCATTTAAAAGATTTAGAACCCTGTCCTGATGTATTACTGAGAGAAACCAGTAATTACTAGAGGTAATAGTCAGTGACTGTGAGGCTAATTTAAGTCGTCCCTGTTTAACGAAGCAACAATCTTTCTTCAGTTTGCACCATAATGGTGGACTTGATGTGTGAACAAAGGAGTTGTGGGCGTTAAGCACAGCCCATAAATACGTCAGGCTGTTTCATTTTACTTCCCACATCAAATTCACCTTTAGTAATTGGAAAAGAATCAGTAGACCAACACACGTTGACAGCTAGATCCCATTGCATTATTTTCTGTGAAATATTTTTTTTTAAATCATATGTTTGCAGGTGAAATTCCCGTCGATATTTCACGCTTTTATCTTCGATGCCTTACAAAAGTTAAGGGAACTAGGTAAAACCATCTCACGTTCTGCCTTTGCAGTATTTCCAGCAAAGCAGACTTCTGTTGTTTGAAATTATTTAGTCACAGAGGTAACAGCCTACATCAAACTTCCGTAGCCTCCCCCATCAAATTGGCCCCTTTAGTTACGCCTCCTGTGGGGAAGAGCAACTCGTTATAATGATGTCTTAAAACTGAAAACAAACACATGAAAAGTCCAATGCTATATCGTTGTCAGAAACAATTTGCCAATGCACAATTAACGTGACCTACAGTGGGAATCGTGCACTACCCTCATTGCTCCAACAAATCAATAATGACAGCAGAAATTAAAGGAAAATGGAAGCGTCTCCATGACGGATTTGACTTATCATGGTTGGATATTATTTCGATATCGATGTAGTAAATGTGGTAAACAAATAGTATGGAATTACTCAAGGTCGGCGAACCAGGCGCTTTGAGGGAAAATTGAAAAATAAAGAGTAGATACGTTAAAATATTAAAAACATTATTAGAAAAAACAGGAGTTTTCATATTCCAAGAAAAAGACGGAAACAACAAAGAGACCAATCAGAAAAAGACTAGCGTCTGGAATGTCGCTATTTCCTTTCCTGTTTCTTACACCAGCCTGCACGGTCAAGTTTGATTGGTCTGTTTTGGATGAATCTGTTTTACTTTGTTTATTTTCAAATGGTACAATTGTTGTTTTCTTAGTATTAGCTTTTACCACTACAGAAACAACTTATGTGTTGAAAATGTGTTTTGTCTCGACCTTAAATATTCAACTTTTGAATACCACTCAAAGAATTGCCGATACCTTCACGTACAAGTCATTCAAGTTTGTTTATCAGTTTTAAAATTATTTATGGGTTTGTTTATTCTGGCTCTTTCACATACATTTTGCCTTTTGGTCAAAGTTCACCTTTATAATGATTACGATTCTGTGGTTGTTTGTTTTGAGTTTGATTTAAGCAGTTGTTACCCCATTCTTCCCTGCAGTGGAATGGTTGACATAATGGTACGACGACGGTAGACAGGCGACAAAGATACCGACAGAGCTTATCAGATCTTTGACGATTTCCCCAGACCCGCTGTCAGGCCAAATATCAACAGTCATCAATTGTTTTATGACAGGCCGGTTTTCAAGACAGTTAGGCCAAATACATTTACGGGCAGCTTAATTTCTTAAACATCCACCTAACGTTAATGCAAGAACGGAGCTCAGTCTCAAAGTACCATTTGGAGGTTTAAATGTTAACTTCATTATAAAAAGCTCAATCAAATCAAATCAAATCTGATTTGACAGAAGCTCAAACTAACTGGTCTTGCTATAGCATTTGAGTTTCCTAAATCACGGACAATAAGTTTGAAATGAATTGAAATCTCCCAGTATTTTTCTTTCTCTCTTTCTGAAATAATAATAAATGAAATGGCTTTGCATGGAGGTTCTAATGATTATCGTATTGTAAGGCTGGGTTACTTCTATCTGGTCTATTTAGCCAGCTGCGACATTTAAAAACCATAATCACTAAAATTATACTTCAATTACGTTATCACAGATTAAAATGTTTTCACAATAGTCCAATATGTGGGATGTTTATGATGAAGTAAACAAAAAACAAAAACTCTCCACCACAGGGAATATAGAAAGGCGTACATAATCGAGCCTGATATACTTGATGACTCCCTGGGGCAGGAGTCAGGGACTAGACCACCATGCAAGGGTCAGTCAATATAAGTCACATCATATGTCACATCTTGGGTGACAGATCCATGGACAGACTTGCACAAAAATTGAGTATAAGCAATGGCGACAGTTGGCTGTCCTCAGATACTACTTGGAATAAGTTAATCATGTTTGTCGAGTGTTTGCAGTGCCAGTTTCCTCTTTTCTCACCACTTTCTCTCAATACAACATGAAATGGAATTACTTTTCAAGGATCCCTGTAGAGTTGTGCATTGGTTATTACGAAAAATTAATTTTGCACAGTTTTCGTTATTGGCGTGTGTGACTCACCCAGTTCAGTCGGCCTGTCGAATCATCAAGCATGCCAAAGTTATCACATTTTAAACCCTAAGAGACCCATAGCCTGTGGTATATGAGTCTGTTCTTGATCGAGTCATAAAGTAAGGCTCGAACTTCATGGTAAGGTTGAGACACAACCATTAGCTTACACATCATTATTCATTAATTCTCCTTACGATCAAGGGCCGTAAGAACTTTTTACTGCTTCAGTCCATTTCCTGTCTTGGTATGTACCCACTGCCCAGCGCTTGTGTATCATGTTTTGGCAAATCTGTCAGCATTTCAAAATTTAAGTTGACTTGGGTTAAGACGCAACCTCTTGAACATGAACCCACAGAAAAGAAGTAATGGCTTTCAAATAAACGACCCATCAAATTCAACAAACAGTTTCGTTCCTAGTTTCATGTTTACAATGCACAGGTGTGTTCTAAACTACTACGTACTACTGCGACGTTGATTTTGACAAATGACATTCCTATATACATGTGTTTGCAGTGCTTGGATGGCTATTTTTTAATCTGTTAAAAATGAAACATAAAAATCTAACTGTTGCTAATTTGGACACCTAAAAACACACATGCCTACATTTTGACACCAATATTAAACTCCGAGCTGATTTTATACATAGCTGCCGGACTCAGGAATGTCATTCTTTGATAAGTTCTAAGCTTGATAACGTCTTGTCTGCCTCTGACAGCCTGGATAGACGGCTAATATGAACCGTACAGGTCGTGCCCTGTGCTATTACGGTTTTGTTTATCATACCGCTTTCGCATTTTACAAATGCGCCAGCGTGAATTAAGCAGGCTGGTCGTTAAGTGTCAAGAAAAATAAACTGTCCTACTCTGGAGTTGAAGGATGGTTGGTATGTGCATAGAGCAAGGACACATGGCATATGTGGCCGAAACCTGTAAGCGTGGTCTTTTTGTGATTTTGAAGCTGGCAAGCGCAAGTCAGACCTACAGTACATATAGTTTTGTCTACACTGCGCATGCCTATGGGGTACATGTATGATATTCTTCATCACAGTTTCCTGCAGAAGATTTTGTATCAGTTTTCTCCTCCGATTTTGACTTAAGCATCCAGTTTATATTTAAAATATGACATGGTAAGGTTAATTAATGGTTTTCACAAGACCAGTATATCGCAGCTGGCTTCATGTGCATGTCATATGTATTACCATGGAGGAATAAAACACTATACCGTGCTAACGCATTTTTAGGTCTGCGCCTTTTTCGACCTAATAAGCTCGCAGAGGTAACGTAAATAGAATTAGCGGCCATTTAGAGACTAGCGCTGGTTTTAACTTGATTCTTTTAGTAATTTGAATCCTTGCTGAGAGCATTTTATTGAATTTACTGATAAAAGTAATGCTTTATATGGTATCTAACTCAATTATTCTCTGTGATGTTGGACCGATCTCTGGTTAAGTTAGTTTAGCTTCCATTTATAAATTTACTAATCAGGCAAGCTCCGGGGATTATTCACGAGCGTGCACGTCGTTTGAATTATTATAAAGTGTGGCTATTTTTTAGGGGTGCTGCATAAGCAATCTTGGTTGTCCAGTTTCCAGCAGCCTCAACAAGCAATCAAGGGAAGCAGAGGTTTAAAAATAATTGTCAAAGGAATAACTTGATCTTGTAGTTGTGCATATCATTGCTAAAGTCTCAAAATTCTACACATAAATGAGATCAAACCAACAATACAAAGTTCCTTTCAAATTCTTGCTATGTGCACAATGGATGTTGTGGAAAAGCAAAATGGAAGTACTGTAAAAGAATCCCCATACATGCAACTATGGCCTCCATGATGCAACCAAGCCAGGTGGTACTATAGAATGGTTTCTGAAATGTTGGTGCCGCTCTGCATGGTTTCTCCGTGCATCTAATCCGCTTCGTTGTTTTTTTCTCTTTCAGGGTTTGCATGCAACGACCCAACATACGTGTTCAGCATAAAAAGCCAGAATACTGAGAATCTTCGCTCCATTGAACTTCATTACTTCGCTTCCCAAAGCGGCGTGATTGGCTCAAGACCGACCTTTGACATTCGATTGTATCTCATCACTAATACGTCATCAGTATGCCAGTCAATCGGAGTACACCACCACCCGGCGGAAGCGCGTGGATGGCAAGTAACTGACGTCACATCTCAGATATCTCTCTTTTTCCAGCCAACCTCGGAGGGTAAAGATTCAAAGATTACTGTGGGTGTTTCGTTCCAGCTTCAAGGAACTAAAGACTCATCTAATTCCCCACGAGACCTTATAACCCATTGGAAAATGTTCTCAAATCATGCACGCCCATTTTTGCTGATGTATGCCGAGGAAGATGACAGCAGTGGAAATTCAGTCTTAAAGTGGACAAAAGAGGGCTCCAAAACTAAAACATCCCCTTCCGAAACAACTCGTCCTCTCAAGGCGCAGAGACATTCAGCATCGATGGGAAGTCACACTCGACACGCTCGAAGTGTTGATGACAATACTCACTCAATCATGACCAACGAATTCCCTAAAGGAAGCACTAACATGGTTCACCAGACAACTTTCCAACACTTCAATGAACAAGACTCGAAACGACGCAAGGCCAAGAAACGTAGCAGTAAAAAACGCAAACGAGTTTCGAAGAAAAATCACCGGAAAGCTCCACTGTTAGACCAGTCTAGCTCGGTAGATGAAGGTGAGAATGATGAGGTCCACGAAGCTATGAATGATGACAGAGATCAAAACACTGTATTGCCGATGGGACCAGGTGAAGGCCCTTGCTCTCGTCATCCCATGTTTGTTAGTTTTGATACCATTGATTGGGATGGATATGTCATCGCACCTACCGGCTATAATGCTTTCTACTGTGCAGGGGACTGCAGATTCCCTTTGTCGAAGGTAAACTAAATACACTCAAAAATTCAACACATTGCTTAAATCTCCGTCTCTATAGCCAACATTTTGGAGCACAGTTAGGTACCTTTTAGTGGCATGGTGTAGAAAAGACTGCGTGTATAATTATATTAAAAAACGAAACCATAATAGTTCGTTCCTCTGTTCTATTATTCAAAAGCAACATGTCAAAAATAATGCGTTTCAAATTTTTTTCATCGCTAGACCGACAATCCATCAAACCATGCAACCATTCAGAGTGTGATGAGCGTCGCCGGCACACAGACAAAAATTCCGCCTCCTTGCTGCGTACCTGAGAAAATGACATCACTATCCATCTTGTTCTTGGATGAGAATGATAATGTGGGACTGAAGAACTACCGGAACATGGTGGTGGAATCATGTGGTTGCCGTTGAACTCTGCCATCTACTTGGAAATTACAAGGGTTGGGTTGCATGCTACATGTAATTTCATATCATTGTTAATAATTTTAGCTTCGGACAGCGTCTTGCACAACTCTTTGTGATACCAATTTTTGCCGCTATTGAGCTGATATCTAGAGATACATCGATTTATTGCTCAGACACAATGCTCATTCACAGTGGTGTCACTGTGGTACTGCGTTGGAGTTCAAGGACCCAGTAAGAATACTTTATAGCTCAAAGCAATGTCAGATAAGTCTATCAACAGACAGCGCTGCTAGGCAGAATACGTAGGTGTGTTGGGAATCCCAAATGAAAAAGAAAAGCTCCCTATTGGTAAGAACCATGTACGGAACTGCAAATTGAAGTTTGTGGTGTTCATTATTTTGACTGACATAACCTTACAATTTAAGTGGGGTTCATGTCCAACGCTGACCCCAACTTGGGTTTAGCGCCCGAAGGTATATTATCTTATTCCTAGCAGGATGTGACAAAACATTAATAGCCCCAATGAAATTCATATAATCTTGTGGACAGTCAAACGCAACTTTGTCCTTGAACTGAATTATTACCTTGTTGATATCAACGATCAAGACATGAGTATTGTGGTGTTCGTCATGATAAATACATTTCGACGCGCAACCTTTCAGTGTTAATGCGTCTAAACTAGAGAGTTTTAATTCGTGTAAAAATAATTATGAATTAGAAAATGAAATTGAGTATATTATATAACGAATGAAATTATGTTGTTTGAGTTGCTGTGTCAAGAGGGCTCTGAGCTAAAGTGCCATGGTTGATTAAAAGAGGGCGCTGTCTGCATGAAGCGGTTCTCAAGCTCCATTGAAAAAATAAAGGACTTTGCTCAACGAAAACTTATAAGTGAACATTCTTAAATTTAGAATTTCTATGTGCGTATTTAAAACAAGTTGGAGAAACGTTATCTATCCATATATCGAAAGTTAGCAAGAGTTCTCACGTATGATCCTATGTGTATCATAAAAGCAAAATTGCGTAGATATTAACTATAATTTCCGCGTCGTGGTTTCTTTTTTGTCAGAGCGTAAAACAGTTGTAAAGATTTATTTAATTTGATTTACAGCCATATGTGTATTCCTATCTACAAACTAGTGGGGAATGCTGAAAAAAAATCCCGAACCCTGCAGCAGTGGAACTGGAAAGCCTGGACGTTGACGTGAAAAGGGAGATAGGGGGGTGGATGCTTTCCCTTTTTGCCCTTTGTAACAACAATAATTCATGTATAACTTTACAGGACGTTTAGAAACTTACCCATACGTACATTTCTAAGATGACGTTCCACATGCACGTATTTTCCAAACGAAATAATGTCCTTCGTTGACCGAGGGATTTTGATGAGTATAAGCGTGTTCCTTCCTCCACGGCAATTGCAAGGTTATATAGACGAGGTCTTCATTTGCCCAGCAAACTGTGGTTCCCAAATTGCAAATTAGCCGCTCTCCAAGTTGGTTGTTTGTCCCAAAAGTTCTTCACTCTGTACAGTTAAATCAATAGCATTTTGTAACTTGAATCTGGAAAGTTGAATATAAATCCATGAGGTAATGAAGACAGTGTGCGCCCTTGCGATACAATGATGGCGCCGACTACACGTGTGTGACTGCCTGCGCACACATTCTGCCCAGCAAAAGAGTGAGTTACACAATAAAATGGCTTTCACCTAGGATTAAAGCTTTTACGGCTAGTATGAACGGTGGACAATGGATCAAATTCATCTCATGACTCAAGCATCAGTAAAAACTTTCTGTGCTCTTGTATCACGTACAATGGTGGAGGCAGAGACGTGGTATAAGTCTCCTTAACCGAATTATTTATACAATTCAGGATGGAGTTTGAACTGCCCCGACAATTGCCGCTTTTCTGCTAGTCTTGCCCCAAGACTAGTTTTACTGTATTGACCGGTGTACGCGTGGGCGACATGCGCTGGCGAGTAATGCCGAATAGCAGTACCAGTAGAGGGCGCTATACTCACAAGAGACGAACTGACAGAAAAACATTGGCCGTTTCCAATATTAAACTTCGGCTCCGTCTCAGGCTGAAACTGTTTTGGGTTTTTTGTTTTGTTTGTTTGTTGTGTTGTTGGGGTGTTTGTTGGGTTGTTGGGTTGTTTGTTTGTTTGTTTGTTTGTTTGTTTGTTTGTTTGTTGGGGTGTTGGGGGTGTTTGTTTGTTTGTTTGT